GTGAATAATGCTATATCAAAATTAGTGCATTGGTTTAACGTTAATAATCTGCATTTGAACGGAAATAAAACTAATTGTGTTAAATTTACAACAACGAATGTTCAAAATCTGAATACCAATGTGTTTTTAAATGGGGAGGAATTGAGCCCTGTTGTATCCACTGTTTTTCTTGGCATCACTGTTGACGCAAAGCTCCAGTGGGGCCCCCATATATCCAAATTAGCAAGCAGACTAAGTTGTGCAGCCTATGCTGTAAAAAAGATTAGAGGTCTCACTAGTGTCGAGACAGCTAGATTAGTTTATTTTAGTTATTTTCATAGCATAATGTCTTATGGGATTTTGCTATGGGGAAATGCGGCTGATTCAGAAACTATTTTTGTTTTACAGAAGAGGGCCATTAGAGCTATTTACAATCTAAAACCGAGAGAGTCTCTTAGAGATAAATTCAAAGAAATTAATATATTAACTTTGGCCTCTCAGTATATTTACGAAAATTTAATGTATGTTCACAAAAACAAAGATAGTTTTAGTAAAAGAAGTGATATACATTCTGTAAACACTAGGAACAAACACAAGCTAGTGATACCAGTTTCTCGACTCCACAGAGTCAGTAATTCATTCTTGGGGCAATGTATACGCTATTACAACAAGGTCCCGGAAAGTGTACAGGTTCTCTCTATTACCAAGTTTAAATGTTTTATTAAGCTGAAACTGTATAAAAAGGGTTATTATAGTATAAATGAATACATGGTTGATAATAACCCCTGGGAATGAGGTGATCGCTTCCAAGCAGTTTCTAAAATAAATTTTGTAAATAGTTCGTAATCATTTATATTGTAAAATTTATTTTAAAAAAAAAGTCCCGCTGGGTTTCTTGCTGGTTCTTCCCAGGACAGAGGGTTTTTTCGAACCAGTGGTAAAGTAAAAAATGACTTTCAATAAGAATTACACATGTAATGTATATTGAATAAAAAATATTCTATTCTATTCTATACTAAGATGATATGTCTAGGACACATCGGTTAGTGAGTCCAAGTTTACCTCGGTCTCAGAGGCTGCGAAGCAACCTACACGCCACTATAATAATCCTTTTCAAGTCCCATTTCTTTCAATATAATGCTTTTACATATTTGAGACCTTCCACATATTTGCTTTATTTCATATACCATACGTATGTCTTATTCATATGGGACTTCAAGTCATAACTCTGCTATCATAATGCTTATGCATCATAGAGACCTTCTATATTAATGCTTTGGTTCGTCAGACCTTACTATGTTAAGTCCCTAATATAGGACTAGTCATTGTGCAACCTTAGTACTAGCAGTCGGTCAGCCGACCACCCCATATATATGTACAACCTTGGGTATGTGTCTCCGACAACGCCCCAATATAAGGGAACATTACAAGAACACGTTCATCAACTTAGAAATTTTCCAATTATTACGAGAACACCTTCATCAACTGAGAAAAATTTTAATCCATTTTTTCTATTATATTACAAATGTTATTTATCTTTGTTATTGCAATATAATCGCCTTGTATTTATATGATTTGATACATTTTTAACATTTTAAGCAGGTTTTTAATAAATTTAGAGATTTTTAGAGACATTTTATGCGTTTACTAATATATATAATATTCAATATTCCAAATGGATATTTTTGAACTCTATGCTTATTATTTGCATTTTATTGTTTAAATTATAATTTCTAAGACATTTTTAAATGTCTGTATAATGAATTTAATTATTATTTATTAATAATAATTATGAGGCGTCACAATATGCAGAAGAAACAGCGTTGGTGATAACACACAGCCTTGTGGAACACCAGCGTTAATAGGCTTGTAGTCAGAACATGCACCGTCTACAACGACCTTGATGCTCCGATCTGCAAGGAAGCTGGTGATCCAATTGCACAATTTCTCGGGAAGCCCATAGGAAGGGAGCTTCGAAAGAAGCGCTTTGTGCCAAACCCGATCGAAGGCCTTCGCAATGTCCAGACTAACGACCAACGCCTCCCCCTTGGACTCTACTGCCTCCGCCCATCTATGGGTCAGGTAGACCAGAAGATCACCAGCTGATCGACCCCGACGAAAACCGTATTGGCGGTCACTAATCAGCTGGTGATCCTCAAGGTACCGGATGAGCTGGCAGTTAATAATGGATTCCATTATTTTGGAGAACAAGGAGGTGATCGCGATAGGCCTATAGTTGGACGGGTCTGAGCAGTCGCCTTTTTTAGGGATCGGGTGGACAAAAGCTGTCTTCCATAAATTCGGGACTACGCCTTGGGAGTAGGAGTACCGGAAAAGACGCGTTAGGACCGGTGCCAACTCCGGAGCACACGTCCTCAGCACAATTGGGGGGATTCCGTCAGGCCCACTCGACTTCTGGATGTCCAGAGAGAGAAGTGCTTTGCGAACCGAGCGCTGTGTAAACTGCACATCCGGCATGGAGCACTCACACCGCGGGATGGTCGGCGGTGTTTTCCCCCCGTCATCAAGAGTCCAGTTGGACGCAAAAAGGGAGCCTAAAAGGTCAGCTTTGCCTTTTGCGTCTTGGGCCAGTGCGTCGTCCTCCCTGTGCAGAGATGGTAGTGATGGCTTACAGAAATTCCCTTGGACAGCCTTGGCGAGAGACCAGAATGCACGGGTTCCCGAAGGAAGGCGTGTGCTCTGACTTTGCCTTGGCAATAACTCTTTTGAAGGACCTGGAGGCGAAGTTATACTTCTTTTTAAGTGTGCAGGTGTTTACATCCCGAGTCGCCGAAGCCGCAGGCCAGGCTTGATAACACTGGGGTGCGAAGTCAGAAGTCCTCCACGTGTGCCTGGTAGTTGCGGGTCCCTCTCGATACGTCTGGAGGGAAGAGCAGATACTGGGCCAGTGCACCCTGGGCGCGGCAGTAATCTTCCTCGAGAAATGAGAAGAAATTCTTACTCCTTGGGGAATGGTACTGCCGCGGCTAATTATTCTGACATGGGGGGGGGTCCGTCCCGGACCAACGGTGCGTTCCACTGCGTGACCCCCTGATCAGCAGAGGGCATAGCAGAGGAGTGAGGGCGGGCTCGGTGTGCACTTACCCTGCCTCCGGGCAGACAGTGAAGGATTCATCCTTTGCTGTCACCGCCGGTCTCGTAATCCCAGTATCGAAGTGTCGTGGATCACGTCTCGCGGCTTTGATAGGGACCGAGGGTCTTGGCTTAACCGCCCGGACCGCGAGGGAGAAAACCTCTATAAAAAGTTACCCCGAATCTCAAGCGGCGACGCACCGCGAGGGGATGGATGGCTGACGGGGTTCTATGAACAAATCAGTCGTTAGTGCGCTCCTCGCCAGGGTACCTGCAGACCCCGTGGCGAGTAATAAATCCTCTAAATCTGCTTACCTTGGTAAGGGGTCTCTGCCAAGGTGGACCTTTAATTCCCCCATACTCGTGGGTACAAAAAATGGAAAACGAAAACAAACAAAAAAACAAAACCGCCGGCAACGGCAACGTAGAGGAGAGGAGGAATGATGCGGGGACAGAGTCCGACGCCGCATCGAGCAGCGAGGGAGGTTCAGAGAGCTCCCGACAAGTGGAGCCTGGGACCGCGGAGACCAGCAAGTCCTTCCGCAAGCGGTCCCGGCGGGATGGCGACCAGGGGTCGGCATCCGGTGAAGAGGAGGTTTCGGCCCGGAAAATCCCCACCAACAGGCGGGGCGGGCTGAGAGGCAAGAGGAGGGAGCTCTCTACCAATCAGAGGGCCGAACGAGCGGCAAAGCTTGCCGAGGAGGGGCGCCACCCGGACGATACGGCTCGGGAATCAGGCGAAGAAACAGATGCGACTGGCGGCTCCGAGGTGGAGCGTAAGGCCAGATTCGTAAAGGAGGTGGAGGCCGCGATCAAGGTCGTGGCCAACAAGCAAAAGTCCTCCTCAAAATTCAAGGCCATTCCCGCGGCCTGCGCCTCCATCATGGCGGCTGCGGAGGCCAACTTTGCTGGGGCTGGGCCTAATGCGGACGAGGTGGCGAAGCTGCGGGCGGACGTGGCCCGCCTGATGTCCGCCATGGAGACTCTCCAGAAGGAGAATGAGAAGCTCCGCGCAGACCTGGCCAGTCTACATAAGCCTGCCTCTCGCGCGGCGCCCCAGACGCAGCGCCCAAGCCAGCCCGTGCCGGTGGAGAACCAGGTTCTGAACCTGGTCCGGCAGGAGCTGGCTGCCTTCCAGCACCGGTTCTCCGTGCTGGAGGGCATCGTCCTGCGCCCCCCCCTAGGGGCAAACAAGACGGCGGCGAGGCCGGCAACGGCTTCTTACGCGACGGCCACGGCTGCCGCATCCAGGCCGGGGCCGTCCAGCCAGCCTTCGGGTGGGGCTGCAGTTGCCCCTCCCCCCCCCTGAAAAGCCGGCTCCGGCAAAACCGATACCGGCTGAACCGGCTCCGGCAAAGCCGGCGACGGGAAAGAGAGGCAAGGCGAAGGCGAAAAAGGGCAAGGCGGCAGCACAGGTGATGGCTGCGCCAGCCCCAGTGCCTGCGGCGAATGGGCCAGCGCCAGCGGCAAGCCAGCTGCCGCCGCCGCCAACGCCCCCCCAGCTCCCTACACCTCCCGCGGCAGAAGCCGGTTGGCAGGTGGTCGGGGACAAACAGAAGGGGAAGAAGGCAGCCAAAAAGGCCAAAGAGCAGGAGCGGCAGCGCCAGTTCAGGGCGCGCAAGATCGCGGCTAGGCTCCGCGCCCCGAAGACCGCAGCTGTAGTGATTACACTACAGCCGGACGCGGAAAAGAAGGGCGTTACCTACCGCGATCTGCTCGCGAAGGCGAAAGAGGCGGTGGATCTCGGGGAGCTAGGGATCACTGGGGGCCTCCGGCTCAAAGTCACCCAAACGGGGGCCCGTATGCTGGAAATCCCCGGGGAATCCAGTGGCGCGACTGCGGACGCTCTGGCTGCGAAGCTCAGAGCGTCCCTGAACGCGGACGAGGCCCGAGTGTCCAGGCCCGTCAGATGCGCAGACCTGCGCATCATGGGTCTGGACGACTCGGTATCGGAGGAGGAGTTGGTGGCCGCCGTCGCCAGGTCCGGGGGGTGCACTACTGACCAGATCAGGTCAGGCGCCATACGCCCGGATCAACGGGGTATGCATGCCGCCACGGTGTGCTGCCCTGTTACGGCGGCCAAAACCATAGTGGAGGGCCGAAGGCTTCTGGTGGGCTGGGTCTCAGCGCAGGTTAAGCTGCTGGAGCCCAGACCTCTGAGGTGCTACCGCTGTCTCGTGGGGCATCACGTATCAGTGAAATGCGCCTCGGAGGTTGACCGCAGTGGCCTCTGCTTCCGCTGCTGTCAGCCCGGACACATATCGGCGACCTGCTGCGCCACGCCGCACTGTGATGCATGTGCGGCGACCGGCAAGCCAGCTTGATCACTGGGCCGGAAGCAGGGCCTGCGTGTCACCCGCCAAGGCCAAGGCCGCGGGTAGGGGAGGGCCCTCCTCCGCCGCCACCGCCTCTATGGCCACCGCCGCAGCTGCAACTGCCGCCGCCGCCGTTGTCACTGTCGCCGCCGCCGCAGCCGCTACACCGACGCCTGCAGAGGGGCGCCCCGTGGAGGAAGCTGAAATGGAATGCCTATAACGGCCCCATTAAGCTTCCTCCAGGCGAATATCAACCACTGCCCCTGCGCTCAGGATCTGTTGCTCCAGAGCATAGCGCAGTGGTCGATTAACATCGCTGTGGTCGCTGAGCCGTATTTTGTCTGGCCTAGGAAGGACTGGGTGGCGGACCTTAACGGCTCAGTGGCCATCATTTCTTCGGCCGCCGCCGGTACCCCGACCCTTGAAGGTGTCAGGAGGGGTCAGGGGTGCGTAGCAGCACGGTTCGGGGAGTTCGTCGTTGTGGGGGTGTACTTCTCCCCGAACCGATCTCTCGCCGAGCTCCACAACTCTCTTGCAGAGCTGAGAGCAGTCGTCGTCGGAAGCTATCCCCTCCCCGTGCTTGTCCTCGGGGACTTCAATGCCAAGAACTTGGCTTGGGGTTCTCGTCGTACAGATGTGCGGGGTAGGATGGTGGAAGACTGGGCTCTGGAGACAGGCCTGGTCGTCCTAAATCGGGGTTCTGTCCCCACGTGTGTGCGGATGCGGGGCGAGTCGGTGGTGGACATTTCGTTCGCTAGCCCCGCTCTGTCGCCGCGTGCCATTGACTGGCGAGTCATGGAGGGGGTGGAGACCTACTCCGACCACCGGTACATCCGGTTTGACGTCTCCACCCAGCCCTCGAGCGCGCCAGTCCAACAGGCCCCGAGTGGTCCGCGTTGGGCGCTGAAGCAGCTGGACCGGGAGCTCCTCCTGGAGGCCTCGATCGTGCAGGCCTGGGTGTCATCACCGGATAGGCCTGCCGACGTCAATAATGAGGCAGGGTGGTTCCAGGAGGCCATGTCCGAGATATGTGTCGTGGCAATGCCCCGCGTCCGGCCAGGAAGCGCCCGGCGTCAGGTGTATTGGTGGTCGCGTGAGCTGACGTCTCTGCGCGAGGCGTGTGTCGCCGCGCGGCACCTGTACGCCAGGCATCGCAGGCTCCGCATTCGTCCACCGAATGCGGCAGCCATTGAGGCGGAGCGGTACGAGGGATACAGAGCGGCGAAGACCGCCCTCCGGGAGGCTGTCATGCGGGCCCGGGATCAGGCCCGTGAGGAGATGCTGGAGACTCTCGACAGAGATCCGTGGGGGCGCCCTTACAAGATGGTGCGGGATAAACTCCGCACCTGGCCCCCCCCGCCGACGCAGAGTCTCCGGCCTCAGCTCGTGGAGGACGTGGTGAGCGCTCTGTTTCCTACGCGAGGGGAACATCCGCCCCCGCCTATGGCTCCGCCACCTGCGGTGCCGGAAGCGGACCACCAGGACGACGACGACGACATCCCGGAAGGGACCGGGGTAGACCTGAGAGTGGCGGTACGTAGGCTCAAGGCCAGGAATACCGCCCCAGGACCCGATGGCTTGCCTGGCAAAGCCTGGGTCCTGCCCTCGGAGGCTCTCGGGCCCCGACTGGAGGGGCTCCTAAGCGCATGCTTGGAGAGAGTCCAATTCCCGCTTCGTTGGAAAACGGGGAAGCTGGTCCTCATTCGGAAGCCGGGGCGCCCTGCGGACTCTCCGTCCGCATACCGGCCCGTGGTGCTGCTTGACGAGGTGGGCAAGCTCTTTGAAAGAGTCATTGCAAACCGCCTCGCCGAGCACCTTGCGGGGACGGGGCCGGATCTTGCGGAACACCAGTTTGGTTTTCGCAAGAGGCGCTCTACGGTGGACGCCATCATGCGCGTGAGAGCCCTCACGACGGGGGATGCAGTGGCCAGGGGGGGGTTGTTATGGCGGTGTCTCTCGACATCGCTAACGCCTTCAACTCCATGCCCTGGAGCTGCATTAGGGAGGCACTCCGGTATCACCGGGTGCCGACCTATCTCCGTCGTATAGTCGGGGACTATCTGACGGATAGGGCCGTCATCTACCCCGGTCGCAACGGTGAGTGGAACCGGCGAGAGATGTCGTGCGGTGTCCCACAAGGTTCGGTTCTGGGGCCGCCCCTGTGGAACATCGGTTACGACTGGGTGCTGCGCGCCGACCTCCCTACCGGCGTCAGCGTAGTTTGCTACGCTGACGACACGCTGGTACTGGCACAGGGGGGGTCGTACGAGGCGGCGGCGGAAACTATGACACGCGGGGTTGCGATAGTCGTTCAGAGGATCCGGCAGCTGGGTCTTGAGGTGGCTCTGCACAAGTCCGAGGCCATGTACTTCCATGGTCCTCGGAACAGGCCACCACCGGGATCCTCAGCGATGGTAGGAGGGATATCCATCGGCGTCGAGTCGACGTTGAAGTACCTAGGACTCTACCTAGTCTCTACTAGTCTCTACTAGTACCTAGGAGGCCGATGGAACTTCGTTGAGCACTTCCGACGTTTGGCTCCCAAACTGGAACGGACCGGGGCTGCCTTCAGGCGGCTCCTGCCGAACCTGGGGGGGCCAAACGCCTCCTGCCGGAGGCTCTACGCGGGGATTGTGCGGTCCATGGCCCTTTACGGGGCCCCGGTGTGGGCGCGTGGTTTGGCGCGGCTTGCCGTCCACCACCTGAACGCGCCCCAAAAGGTGGTTGCCGTTAGAATGGTTCGCGGCTACCGCACGATCTCCCGCGAGGCAGCGTGCCTCCTTGCCGGATTGCCGCCATGGGATCTGGAGGCGATAGTCCTCGCGCGCCTGCACGAATGGCGCGCGGAGGCACTATGCCGGGGGGAAACCCCGCTGCCGCGGCAAGTTGTCGTGCAGCGGACAGACTTCCGGCATGACCTCATGGCGACATGGAGAGAGCGACTGTCGCAACCCCGTGCTGGGCACGCCACTATAGCGGCGATAAGACCCCTCTTTGAGGAGTGGCTTGAGAGACGCCACGGCGTCCTCACCTTCCGCCTGACGCAGGTCCTCACCGGACACGGTGTGTTCGGGAGGTTCCTGCACCGAATTGGGCGGGAGGAAACGCCCGGGTGCTCCCACTGCGAGGATCGACCGGAGGACACGGTGGAGCACACCGTGGAGGTGTGCCCTGCCTGGGCGGAGCACCGCCGTGTCCTCGTAGCGGCGATAGGCGGCGGCGACCTCTCGCGTCCGGCCCTGGTCGAAGCCATGGTCCGGAGCGAGACGGAATGGGATGCCGTCACCACCTTCTGCGAAGCAGTGATGCTAGCGAAGGAGGTGGCGGAGCGGGAGAAGGAGAGAGCAGCAGCTTTCCTTCCCGGCCGCCGCGGGAGACGCCCCGAGCGTCGGGGGCTACGTCGTGGCCCCCGGCCACCGTAGGCGCGGGCCTGTGGACGGCGAGCAATGGGTAGCTCGCCGTCCGTCCGTCTAACGACGACAGGCCGTGTCGACGGCGCGTTTTGTTCCACGCGCCCCTCAAAGAGCTGTCAGCAGCGTGAAGGGGCCCGCAAGGGCCGACGCCTGCCGGGGCTGCGGGCTGTTCGAAAGAGATACCGCGGCTCCGGAACGTAAGGGCACTGAAGGAACACGGATGGTTTTTAGTCAGTAAAAGTCTGACACTCCCTTCCGCTCCACCCAGAGCGAAAGGCGTCATTTGATGATTTTCCATCCGAAAAAAAAAAAAAAGGCTTGATAACACTCCTGCTTACTGCGTAATGCAGTCTTACAGGAGCGACCAAACCAAGGCTGAGATCTGCCTCCGATGGGTACCACAGATGATGGAATAAATAGTTCCATTCCCTGTAGCACCACATCAGTGACAGAGTCAGCAACAGCGCTGGGATTATCCGGCGAGAAGCAAACCCGCCCCCATGGGTAGGATGCAAAGAAAGACCGCATTCCGTCCCAATCCGCCGACCTGTAATGCAAAACACGGCGGCAACCTGCAGAACGCAACCGCGAAGGGAGCGTGAGGACGCCAGGCAGTATCAATGTTTCGCCGAATCAAACTTTGGAGTCACTACCACTGGATTGATCAAAGTAGAAAAGCTATTTATAGACGCGCCAAAAGTAATTCCATTAAAACACAAACCTGTCAAAAGGAAGCCTTTCAAACTAGACTGCTCCGTGCCCAACGCCAACCCAGAACCAGAACTGCAGTGGGTTCTGCAATCGGTCACTGATCCAAGCAATTTCAAAGGGATCCTAGAAATAGAATACTATATCACAAAATCACCGGACGGTAACCTCTGGTTTGCCAACGTCACTGAAAAAGATGTCCATGCCGATATGAAATACGTGTGTCAAGCCTTGACCCCGGCCGAGGAAGGACCGGTGATACTTGCAGAGCATTACATAGAACATCTTGTTGAAAATAAAGAGGAGAACACCGGAGAACTGGTAGCGCAGTATTTAAGTAAAGACATGACAGTGCAGATCGGCAAGGTTACGATGATTTACTGCATCTACGGTGGAACGTGAGTATGAATTTTACAATTTTTACCTCGCGCATTCATCAAAAAATGTTTCCCCTCCGTTACGTTGCGTTTTATTGTTGAGTAGTTTTTACCAGCTGCTCCGCTTGCGTTTATTGGAAGCCGACATTTCATTTGTTACTGAAATTATTTCCACTAAAGGTTGCAGGACGCTATTCTGCATATAATATGCACAAAACTCATAATATTTTTTTTAACAAAGAAGCAGTAATTGTGACTTAATAATCTAAGAGTACCAATGTTAAATAGATACACTAAATCTATCGCGGTTTTTTTGAAGATACTAGTAAAAAGTTTGATTCGAGATTTTATAGATAACGCAGCGCACGCTAAGAATAAATTTTTTGTCGTCAAATATTAGAACCATAGATTAAAAACAATCATTTGGGACAAATTTAAACTTTATTTTTTACAAAAAATATAGCCTGTCCTATTCTGTTTCCTTCTGGTTTTGCAATGGATGCAAAGTTTTATCAAAATCCGTTCAGTCTTTGCATAATTGAGTAACAAACATCCATACAAACATTCATATTAATTATAAGTATATGTAGCGAAGACACACTAAGTGCATGTAAAAAGTTAAAATGATATTATTTTTTATTTTTATTACTGTTCAATCACCTTAAGTCGTCGTAAGTTGTTGAACCTGTGTTTTTATTGTTTTAAATTTTATTATTTATGCACTGTGCACCTTATAACGGGTCTAAAATAACCCATATATGTAAACTTATTATTCTCACTACCTCTCTCATGATCTAATTCTACTTCAGATGTTTATTTTATACAGGCAAGGGTATAAAGCGTGTAACGGTCCACCAGATGGTTAGTGAAGTGAGGGTAGATGTGTCTAGATGCTGTGGCCTATAGACACTCACATCTACCCTCGATTAAGAATCAAAGTGAAGACGCCTTGTCACCCCCGAGGACTCAGAAGGAATGCCTTGATATCATGAAAACTTTAATTTTCGACAAACTCAGCAGCAATATGTTGCTACGAGCTGGTATTCTGTACGCTGGTATTCTCTATTGAAATTAGGATGCTTTTTAATTTCAATAGCCTCTCGCATCATCCCTGGTAGGAATCGGTGTTCTTTTGCAAGCATTTGTGGTCTATCAAATCAAATGTAATGGCGGGGTCGATCTTGAACACAAATTAATAATAAGTGTGAACATAAATCTTGAACATGTTCACAGACTGCAGACTTCCCGGAACGTCAGCTACTCGTATATGTTTCTTACGCAGGCTTTTTTGACAAACAAAAATATCCATATCTATTAATAAGTATAAATATTCTTAAATTTCTACTTTCTCAGTCCTCTTGCCTATCCGGGCTGGAGAAAGAACGGACAGACGATCAAGGACGAACCCGAAGACCGCGTAACGAAGTACAACGGAACTGGAGGCAAACGTCTGCTCATCAAGGACACCTGGCTGGTTGATGAGGGAAACTACACCTGCTTCGCTGATAATGAAGTGGACAAAGTCAAGGAGCACACTGTGTACTTGACTGTAATCAGTAAGTACTTAAGGTTCCTTCCTTAGGAATTAGTTGTTTGAATATCTGGGTTCTCAAGAGTTTTTAACGTGGTAGAGCCATGCTGCAGCTATATTATGGTTGTATCACAAATGGGTCGGCTTGACCGAGGTAGGACCACGTTCTCACATAATACCAGAATGAAATAGCAGCTTAATGCTGCTGTGTTTCGTATGGTGAGTGTAGAGAACCAGACACCGTTTTTATTGGAAACGAGACATTCTATCTTAGTCCTCACGCGTGACAACGCATCTGCATTTTAATTCGCAAACGGAGATAGATGTGGATGTCTATGGGCCACAGCAACCACTTACCATCATTCTATAAATAAAGCATTTTTCTAGCAAAACACATTGATAACAAGAACGCTGTTTCTTCTGCATATCAATGATATGTTGCTAACTGGTAACATTCATTGCTATGCGGATGACAGCACTGGTGATGCTCTATACACCGGCCGTGCCAATATTTCTCGGGAAAACGTCGCTGAGTACCGGAACAGACTTGTGTCTGAAGTCGAGTCTTTGCTGAACAAAGTCTCGGATTGGGGGCGACTAAATCTAGTCCAGTTTAATCCTCAGAAGACACAAGTTTGCGCGTTTACCGCTAAAAAGAACCCCTTTGTCGTATCTCCTCAGTTTCAAGGCACTCCCCTTCTTGCCTCAGCCAGTATCGGTATCCTCGGAGTCGACATATCGAGTGACGTGCAGTTTCGTGGTCACTTGGAAGGGAAGGCCAAATTGGCCTCTAAAAAGCTTGGCGTGCTCAGCAGAGCGGGACAGTATTTCATGCCGGCACACCGCCTGCAACTTTACAAGGCGCAAGTTCGGCCTCACATGGAATACTGTTCCCATCTCTGGGCAGGGGCTCCCCAGTGCCAGCTCCTTCCACTTGACCGCATCCAACGCAGAGCTGCTCGAATCGTCGACGACCGAGCCCTTTCCCATCGGCTCGATTCATTGGCACTGCGAAGAGATGTTGCATCCCTTTGCATTTTCTTTCGCATCTACCATGGGGAGTGCTCTGAGGAATTGTTCGGATTAATCCCAGCCGCCAAATTTCACGAACGCACATCGCGGCAGAACTCCCGATACCATCCGCACCATCTGGATGATTGGCGGTCCACCACTGTGCGATTTAGAAGATGTTTTCTTCCTCGCACGACCTCCTTGTGGAATCGATTACCATCAGCGATTTTTCCGGACCGATACGACTTAGGGACCTTCAAGAAAAGAGCGTACTCCTTTTTAAAAGGCCGGCAACACATCTGCGATTCCCCTGGTGTTGCAGTTGTTCATGGGCGGCGGTAGTCACTTACCATCAGGTGAGCCGCATGCTCGTTTGCCCCCTCTCCTATAAAAAAAAAAAAAAAAGGCGTAGAGGCTGCTCTTCCCGCAGCGCCGGAGACGTAGCAGTCTCAAAATAGATACAGAAATCCTTCTGAATCAGTCCCCTTATTTTTTATGATGAAGGGGATTTTTTTCTCATAAAATGGATTTATATTTACATTATAAATGCAAACATGAAAAAAATATCGATATTTTAGAAATCGATTTTTTAGGAATCGATACATCAGCTTACAATTCGAATCTATTTAAAAAATCGATCTTTTTCGGAAAGAATCGACATCCCTACTGACAATAATAATAAAAATGGCGTCAGTTTCACGGTAGGAATTGACTAAATATTGCAAAATTATTTGATTTTCAATATTTTTTTCTCAATAAGTACGTGTTTCCGCATATTGAAACTTTGTGTGTGTGCTTATAAAAATGTAATCTTTCTGTAAAAATACGTATCAACACCAAACTCGACTGACGTCAATGGAAAGTCTTTCCCAATTCCTTCCTATATTTTGTGTTAACCCATTCGCTGTCCCGTGCACTACATATAGGGCACTGCTATTGTCTTACTATTGTGTCTAGAAACCGGACAGTGAAAGTGTTAACTATGATGCCTTAATTTTAAAACCATCTATTTTGTTTGATTTCGGTCAAATTTATTGATATTGTTAACAGTGACAGCCGATGGAAACATTGCCATTTAATTTTTAGTGATTCTTCCAAACCCGGTTCCGAGGAGTGTGTGGGAGTTGGCGTTTTCCATTAACAGTTTGGCATTGTACAGAAAATAAAATTGCCTCCAGAGACTTCAGTATTTACTGGAGAATGTTTTGGTCTGTTGAAGTCTCTGGAGTACATTTTAATCATGAAGTTAAAAAACTCAATAATTTTTACCGATGCTAAAAGTGCCCTCCAAGCCTTGGAAAGATTTCCTTTTAGCAGAATTTTTAGAAATTTTAGCTTTTTAATAGAAATAATCATCCATTTATTATTGCATGTCGTGATTTATTGTATCAATGTTGCATCAAAAATTACACATTTTCTTTTGCTTGGATTCCGGGGCACTCAGGTATCTTTGGCAATACCAAGGCCGATAGCCTTGCCAAAACTGCAGTCAATGACGGAGATCTAGTTCCGTACAAAAGCTTTTGTTGTGATTTGGCTCTCCTTCCTAAATCCCAGTTATTGAATTCTTGGACACACATTTGGCGTTCTTCAAGTCAGACTATAGGTCGATATTATAGCATGATCCAGGTGGGTATACCTCCTAAACCGTGGTTTTGAAATCTGACGTTTGGTAAAGCTATCACTTCGACCCTTATTCGTATGAGGCTGGGCCATGCATGCATTCCCTTGCATTTGGCAAGGCTTAAACTTTTGCCTAGCGATATATGTGAGTGTGGCAATGACGTTGGGGAGTTTAACCATATATTCTTTGCTTGTCCTCGACATGACCGTTCCGCTTTTATTTCCTCGCTTTTGTCCATTAAAATTCCTTTTCCTACTTCAATTTCTGTCCTTTTATCTTATGTAAATATTGATGTATATAGAATTTTAGCCAGTTTCATTTTTCATAACAATATAAAATTATAATCATTTATGTACTTATATACTAAATTTACCTGATCCTTTTCCAAATTCCGTTCCAATTTCCAATTCAATAAAATAAATCTTACTTCCTAACCTTTTTGCATGGCTGACGCACAAACCGTGCAGGCCAAGAAAGGGAAAAAAATCATAACAATAGGAAATAAGCAAAATATTATTTAATGTTATTCCTCTATTTATTGAGTATTTTGTCACTCACAGTCCAAGCAGTGTTTGTTACAATGTCAATTGGTAAGTATACACGAAAATAGAAAATTGGATCATTTACTACTTGATAAAAATTTTGTTATAAAATTGATTTAAAAAAAAGAACTACAATAAATACATTTATCAACTTTTTAAAAATAATATGCGTTGTTTCTTGAGTGATTGAAGACGTTCATACATGCATTCTTCGCATCATTCATTACCACAGTCTTAAAATAATAAGCCTACAAATGTGTTGATGATTTGTTTTAGCTGCCGGTCTCTATTATTTGGCAGAAGTAGTAGAGGACTACACATCATCATCATCATCATTACAGCCCTTCACAAGTCCACTGCTGAACATAGGCCTCCCCCAAAGAATGCCACAAAGCACGGTCCTGAGCCACCTGCATCCATCGACTTCCTGCATATCTTACCAGGTCGTCACTCCATCTAGTGGGGGGACGCCCTACACTTCGCCTGCCGGTACGAGGCTGCCACTCGAGAACCTTTCTTCCCCATCGTTTGTCGGTTCTTCGAGCTATATGGCCGGCCTTATGTCGGTCACTTTGGTTCTACTGCGGATATCCTCATTTCTGAGTTTATCACGCAGAGAAACTCCGAGCATAGCCCTCTCCATAGCTCGCTGAGCGACCTTGAGCTTCCTCATCCGGCCAGCAGTGAATGACCACGTCTCAGTTCCGTATGTCATCACTGGCAACACGCACTGGGTGTACAGTCTCGTTTTCAAGTTTTGAGGTATACCTGACGAAAAGATGTGCCGTAATTTCCCGAACGCTGCCCAACCGAGTTGAATCTGTCGATTGACCTCTCGGTCGAAGTTGGACTTACCTAGTCGGACTATTTGTCCCAGGTAAACATACTCGTCAACAACTTCGAGCTTAGTGTTCCCAACAATTACCGGTATAGGTGTGACATGGACATTAAACATGATCTTTGTTTTGTCCATGTTCATCTTAAGACCTATCCGTTGGAAAACACTATTGAGGTCATTGAGCATAGCGCTTAGGTCCTCCAGCGATTCTGCCATAAGGACTATATCGTCGGCAAATCGAAGGTGAGTGATGTACTCGCCATTGATGTTGATACCGTATCCTTTAAAGAGTTTCGGGGATATGACGTCACCCTGTCTTACACCTCTCTGTAATTGGATAGGTTTCGTACTCTGGTTCTGTACTCGGATAGCCATCGTAGCCCTACTGTACAAGCACTTCAACACTTCGATATACCGACAGTCAACTTGGCATCGCTGAAGGGACAGCAGCACCGCCCAAATTTCGACGGAATCAAAGGCTTTCTCATAGTCCACATACGACAGACATAGTGGCAAATTGTACTCCTCGGACTTCTGTACAATTTGCCGAAGGGTATGTATGTGGTCTATGGTGCTAAAGCCTTTTCGGAAACCGGCTTGTTCGGGAGGCTGGAAGTCGTCAAGTCTGCGCGCGAGACGATTCGTAATGACTCTCGAAAACAGCACGTAGACGCGGCTCAGAAGGGAAATCGGTCTGAAGTTCTTCAAGAGAGCGTTGTCGCCTTTCTTGAAGAACAAGACCACCGCACTTCTGCTCCACGCCTCCGGTGTAATGCCACCATGGAGGACGGAATTAAAGAGCTTCTGAAGGACTTCAAGTACCGGTTTTCCACCCGCTTTCAGAAGCTCCGCTGTAATTCCATCCTCGCCTGGGGCCTTGCCGTTTTTAAGATGCTCTGTGTACCGAGGTTGGTGCGTAAACCTGTATGACCTTCAGCGAATACCGTTTGGTGATTCTGAGTATAAGGTACGCAACCCTCGTCGACACACTCTCAATCTTTACAACGTTGTTAACGAGAGACTTGTGGACGATAAATCCGACACCTCCCTGGGACAGATGGTCGCCCTCCCGGTAATAGAGCAAGTTGCCGGATTCGAGGATTACCGTGTCCTCCCCCTCTCTTCGGACTTCGGATAATCCTATAATATGCCAGCGTAACTTGTCTATCTCTTCTTCCAGCTCCACAATCTTCTCGTCAGTCCTCAGGGTGCGTGCGTTGTATGTTGCCAGGTCGAGTCGTCGTAGGTGGCAACCGAACCTCCACCGGAGATTCTTAGCACCCCCTGCCCCGCCGTTACCATGGTCGCCACCAGGAATAGCGGGGCCGCCGGGGACTGGGGGCCGTCTCTTCGTAACTTTCATCATGGGGGGTATATTGCCATAGTTGCCACGCTTGGCGAGCGGATTGGCAACCGCAGTTTTTTTATTGTATTTTTGCCGTTACCAGGAAGATGCTGCTGCCCATCTCCTGCCTGTTTCCCTTTGTCGCCTTTTACGACACCCACGGGAAGATATGGGGAGGAGTACACAGTAATGGCAAAATACATAATTTCTTGGATGATTATTGTAAGTACTTGGTGTCATCTATATGATGACAGTTTTAATTTTATTTTTATTTTTAAATTTCAATAAACTTTTTTTTATACAATGGGGCAGAAAAACGTGCCACACCTGATGGTAAGTGGATGCTGTGGCCCATAGAAAACTACATAAACCCTAAACCCCCCCCCCCCCCCCTACCAACTAAACCACTGTTTTTGGAAATGTGAAAAGTGCACACGATAGTAGTATATATAATGAAGTTAAAAGAAAAACTATCACAGCTAAGTAGAATTAACAAATTAGTGAGTAATAGTTGACCAACTTATAAAATGCACAAAAATTTAGTTACAACTCAATAGCAAATTATGTAAAACAAGCTGCATTATAACTTTGTAATGTTATGTATGTATTGTAACCTGTAAAAAATAAACATTTTATGAAGAAAACGACTTGCATTACTACTATAACCTTACTGATTCATTTGCAGGGAGAATCTTTCTTACTTGCTTACTATTTACTTACTTTCACATATTTTTTAGCTGGTAGTTGTTGTAGGCCTCATTCAAAGTATTCATACAATCATATAGCCTTATACAGTTTCATTGGTCACACTTTTGGTTCACATATGCAACCTTAGGATAATTTAGGGCAGATGATTTATGTGAAGGTTTGTTATGGTCATATATGTATATATTAGGGTGCCGGGAATATATAGATAGATAGTCAATTATCAAATCATTAGAAAAAGTAAGTCTTTTTACCTTAGTATGTGAATGATTTGATGTAAATTGTATTATTACCATTTATACCACTCCCTATAAGTCTGATTTGAAAATAAGTCCTTCAGTAACGATTTTCCTATTTGGGCCCATTTTTAGTCATTATATCAGTCAAACTGCAATCTCACTTATTATGCTCATTATGAAGAAAGTCTATGTATTGTGACGGGCAACTATGGAGTCCACAACATTTAGAATGTGCCTTTAAAATATAAATAAATTCAAAGTTATTAGGAGCTGAAACAAAATAATACTTTATTAGACAAAATAATCTCTCATAAATACATAAGTGACGGCTCCGTGGCGCAGTGGCTTAGCAATCATTTTGCGCTGGGGGCCGCGGGTTCGAATCCCGCACGGAACAAGTATTTGTATGGCCTACAAATAATTGTTCCGGGTCTGGATGTTTGTCCTTGTGCAATTTATGTTTGTAAACTGCCTCCACGACACAGGAGAAAATCCTAGTGTGGGGGTAACGTTTAAGAAAAAAATACATAAGTGTATGAAAAATACAAATAAAATAAAAAACCTTATTCTATTAAAAAGTAATTTATTGATTCAAAAATGAAAACTAGTTAAATTACACTTAATTAATCACAAACTTTAGAACAGAACCTTTTTTAATGATTCGACAGCTAAACTTAAGAGTGAAAATTAACAGCTTTTTCAGTCATTTACACAATAATAATCATTTTGTTATAATTATGTTATAACTTAAGATAGACTTAAATAAATATCATAACGGTGACAAGCGAGCACTCAGCCCACCTAACAGTAAGTGGATGTTGTGGCCCATAGACTTCTTTGTCTATCCTCAAATAAGAATCAAAAAGCAGATGCGTTGTCACCCCTGAGGACTAAACTGGATTGCCTCATATCCAGCATAAAGGGTCTCTTGGTGTCTTCTCTACATTTACCATCCTTAGCATTAAGCTGCTGTTTTATGCTGTGAGGGCAGGATCATTCCCCAGTCGAATCGAGCCATTCATGCTACAACTATAATATATAGGTGCAATAATAATAATAATAATATATAATAATATATAATATTATATATGTATATATATATATATTATTATATAATAATATATAATATAGGCGTAGGGAAGTGACGACCCCAGCGCCCGCTGACGTAACGGTTGTGTGACAAAACTGCTACGTCAGCGCAGTTAGTCAGCGCCTTGCCAAGAGGTGTGTGCGCCGTGCCTCAGCAGAATTGAGGGTGCAAAGGTCCGTCTGTGCTTGTGGCCGCACCATAAAACGGTGCTGGGCCTGGGCCTCTTCCGTTAATTGACGCCCATAATATGGATGATGAAGAATAAAAGAGTGCGCAAAGAGCCGCTGCCTGGAGGTCTAGAGTCTCCGGCCTCAGCTCGTGGAGGACGTGGTGAGCGCTCTGTTTCCTGCGCGAGGGGAACATCCGCCCCCGCCTATGGCTCCGCCACCTGCGGTGCCGGAAGCGGACCACCAGGACGACGACGACGACATCCCGGAAGGGACCGGGGTAGACCTGAGAGTGGCGGTACGTAGGCTCAAGGCCAGGAATACCGCCCCAGGACCCGATGGCTTGCCTGGCAAAGCCTGGGTCCTGGCCTCGGAGGCTCTCGGGCCCCGACTGGAGGGGCTCCTAAGCGCATGCTTGGAGAGAGGCCAATTCCCGCTTCGTTGGAAGACGGGGAAGCTGGTCCTCATTCGGAAGCCGGGGCGCCCTGCGGACTCTCCGTCCGCATACCGGCCCGTGGTGCTGCTCGACGAGGTGGGCAAGCTCTTTGAAAGAGTCATTGCAAACCGCCTCGCCGAGCACCTTGCGGGGACGGGGCCGGATCTTGCGGAACACCAGTTTGGTTTCCGCAAGAGGCGCTCTACGGTGGACGCCATCATGCGCGTAAGAGCCCTCACGACGGGGGATGCAGTGGCCAGGGGGGGGGGTTGTTTTGGCGGTGTCTCTCGACATCGCCAACGCCTTCAACTCCATGCCCTGGAGCTGCATTAGGGAGGCACTCCGGTATCACCGGGTGCCGACCTATCTCCGTCGTATAGTCGGGGACTATCTGACGGATAGGGCCGTCATCTACCCCGGTCGCAACGGTGAGTGGAACCGGCGAGAGATGTCGTGCGGTGTCCCACAAGGTTCAGTTCTGGGGCCGCCCCTGTGGAACATCAGTTACGACTGGGTGCTGCGCGCCGACCTCCCTACCGGCGTCAGCGTAGTTTGCTACGCTGACGACACGCTGGTACTGGCACAGGGGGGGTCGTACGAGGCGGCGGCGGAAAATATGACACGCGGGGTTGCGATAGTCGTTGAGAGGATCCGGCAGCTGGGTCTTGAGGTGGCTCTGCACAAGTCCGAGGCCATGCACTTCCATGGTCCTCGGAACAGGCCACCACCGGGATCCTCAGCGATGGTAGGAGGGGTATCCATCGGTGTCGAGTCGACGTTGAAGTACCTAGGACTCGTCCTCGACGGCCGATGGAACTTCGTTGAGCACTTCCGACGTTTGGCTCCCAAACTGGAACGGACCGGGGCTGCCTTCAGGCGGCTCCTGCCGAACCTGGGGGGGGGCAAACGCCTCCTGCCGGAGGCTCTACGCGGGGATTGTGCGGTCCATGGCCCTTTACGGGGCCCCGGTGTGGGCGCGTGGTTTGGCGCGGCTTGCCGTCCACCACCTGAACGCGCCCCAAAAGGTGGTTGCCGTAAGAATGGTTCGCGGCTACCGCACGATCTCCCGCGAGGCAGCGTGCCTCCTTGCCGGATTGCCACCATGGGATCTGGAGGCGATAGTTCTCGCGCGCCTACACGAATGGCGCGCGGAGGCACTGTGCCGGGGGGAAACCCCGCTGCCGCGGCAAGTTGTCGTGCAGCGGACAGACTTCCGGCATGATCTCATGGCGACATGGAGAGAGCGACTGTCGCAACCCCGTGCTGGGCACGCCACTATAGCGGCGATAAGACCCCTCTTTGAGGAGTGGCTTGAGAGACGCCACGGCGTCCTCACCTTCCGCCTGACGCAGGTCCTCACCGGACACGGTGTGTTCGGGAGGTTCCTGCACCGAATCGGGCGGGAGGAAACGCCCGGGTGCTCCCACTGCGAGGATCGACCGGAGGACACGGTGGAGCACACCGTGGAGGTGTGCCCTGCCTGGGCGGAGCACCGCCGTGTCCTCGTAGCGGCGATAGGCGGCGGCGACCCCTCGCGTCCGGCCCTGGTCGAAGCCATGGTCCGGAGCGAGACGGAATGGGAGGCCGTCACCACCTTCTGCGAAGCAGTGATGCTAGCGAAGGAGGTGGCGGAGCGGGAGAAGGAGAGAGCAGCAGCTTTCCTTCCCGGCCGCCGCGGGAGACGCCCCGAGCGTCGGGGGCTACGTCGTGGCCCCCGGCCACCGTAGGCGCGGGCCTGTGGACGGCGAGCAATGGGTAGCTCGCCGTCCGTCCGTCTAACGACAACAGGCCGTGTCGACGGTGCGTTTTGTTCCACGCGCGCCTCAAAGAGCTGTCAGCAGCGTGAAGGGGCCCGCAAGGGCCGACGCCTGCCGGGGCTGCGGGCTGTTCGAAAGAGATACCGCGGCTCCGGAACGTAAGGGCACTGAAGGAACACGGATGGTTTTTAGTCAGTAAAAGTCTGACACTCCCTTCCGCTCCACCCAGAGCAAAAGGCGTCATTTGATGATTTTCCATCCGCAAAAAAAAAAAAAAAAGGGACTCCCTGCTAGCCGCTGCTTTGAAGTACAATAAACCTCACTCACAGGAAAAATTGAACACGGAGCATGTGGGGTTGGGGCCTAACAGGAAGACTCCCATATATGTAGTAGAAAATCTTTCACCTGAGGATAAGCTTCTTCACGCTCTGTCCCGTAAACGTGCAAAAGAACTTCAATACAAACATGTATGGGTCCGGGGCGGCCGCATATACATGCGAAAAACTGATACATCTGAATACGTCTTAGTACGTAATAAATCGACCCTGGTCAATTTATCTTAGGTTCTTTTTGTTATTTTGTAATCTATCGTGTAATAGTATACGGCTTAAAGTTCAACAGTTTAAATGTATATTTTCAAAATGTTAGGGGTCTTCGAACAAATACGACAAACTTGTACAAAAACATATTAAAATACGATTATAATATAGTTGTGTTATGTGAGACTTGGTTAAATAGCACTATTTTTGACTCCGAGTTGTTTAGTGATCGTTACGCAGTTTATAGACGCGACCGCGAGACTAGCGGCTTTCATCAGCACAAATCTGGTGGCGGGGTATTGGTGGCTGTGTCAAAGCATATTTATTTCCGTAGGCTACACCATTTTGAGAGTAAATGCGAGGATATTTGGATCGAATTGAATATACCTACGGAAAAAGGTACCCCAAATAAGATTTTATTGTGTGGCGTCTACCTCCCGTCGCCCATTCAAAAACATTTTCTGGAACATTATGTCGACAACGCTAATAGAGTCTTAGAGTCAAACGCAAAAGTGTTAATTTTGGGAGATTTTAATCTGAGTGGTATTGCATGGAACGATACAGAGGTACCGTTTGCTGTAAATGGCAATAATATGACTAAGACTTCATTTGAAAGCACTTTACTGGACTTCATAGCTTTAAATAATCTTACTCAATATAATACTTCGGTCCTAAACCATAAAGGCAAAATTTTAGACCTGGTTCTCTCTAATCTTAATATTCTGTTGAATGTGACACGAAGTAACTCTGAGCTCAGTTCTGTAGATGATTATCACCCACCGCTGGAATTTACGCTGCCCTCCGGGTATTCAGCTAAACTTCTTTCCCGTAATTATAATGAGAGACATAACTTCTATAAAGCTGATTTTGAAAAAATATCTAATTATTTAAGCTCGATACCATGGGAGAGTGACCTGGCTTCGTGCTCCTCGGTGGATGAAATGACTAACTGATTTTACTCAATACTAAGAAGTTCTATCTTAAAATATGTTCCTAAAAGCAAACCAGCATCAAAAAAGTTTCCCCCGTGGTATACCAGGGATCTTATTCGCCTTTCACGTGAGAAGTATAAGCTCAGGATGAGATACAAAAAGTACAATAACCCACTCGACGAACTGGCATTCCGTACAGTTAAAAAACGGTGCTCTGATTTAACAGAATCTTGTTATCTTAAATATATAACTGATCTCGAAAAGTCCCTATCAGTAAATCCAAAAAAGTTTTGGACCTTCCTGAAGAGTAAAAAAGTCAATTACAACGCGTATCCATCTGCAATGACATTCGATGATAAAGAAGAAACTTGTGGAACTGGTATTTGTAATCTTTTTGCTTCGTATTTTGCCTCAGTTTACCGGCCAAGCTTGCCTCTCTGCAATGTACCTGATCTAGAATACTCAGTCTCTTGCTTCCTTGGAAGTCTCACCTTTAGGCGGGAGGATGTTCTGAAAACTCTGAAAGGACTAGATAGAACTAAGGGAGCAGGACTGGATGGAATACCCTCTTTGTTTGTAGTTCAATGCTGTGAATCTCTCTCCTTTCCTCTAACAATAATATTTAATGAGTCTTTAATGAATGGCGTATTTCCCTCGATCTGGAAGGAGGCAAGAATTGTTCCAGTTTTTAAGTCGGGAGATTCAGCATCCATGAAGAACTATAGGGCCATTTCGATACTATCAGTCTTTGGGAAGGCATTTGAATCGTTGGTTTGCCCGGTCTTGTCCTATCACATAAAGCATTTAATTTCTCCTCGCCAATCAGGTTTTTTAGCATCTCGCTCAACGGTAACTAATTTGATCCCATTTGTGGATTTCGTTTCTAACTCCCTTGATTCCAGTATTCCTGTAGACACCATATAAAATATACCGACTTTAGTAAGGCTTTCGATTCAGTTGATCACAAAATTTTACTGGGTAAACTTTCTCGTTTGGGTGTGTACGGCAGCCTTCTGGAATGGTTTGAATCCTATCTTTATCAACGCAAGTCGCACGTTGTGGTTAATGGCTACTCATCGCATTCCTTTCAGCCAACTTCCGGCGTTCCACAAGGTTCGCATCTGGGTTCAATCCTCTTTAATATATTTATTAATGATATCGTGGGTATCTTTGATCATGTTGCTTGTTTCCTTTACGCTGATGACATGAAACTGTCTATGCAGATCAGAGGTATTAATGATTCATTACTATTACAGGAGGATTTGGATCGACTCGCTGGATGGTGTACGGAGAACAGGTTATATTTAAATACTGAAAAATGTAAATTTATTAGATTTTCGAGATGCAAAACAAACTTGTCGCCGTCCTACAATATTGCCGGTCAAAAATTGCTAGAGGTGGACTCTATTCGCGATTTGGGCGTCATTATGGATAAAAAACTACGCTTTCACAAACACATTGACCAAGTCGCAACAAAAGGTTTCCAGATGCTAGGGTTTGTGCTGCGGAATGCAAAGGAATTCAAAAAGCCCTCAACAAAAATTCTCCTGTATTTGGCATTGGTTCGTTCGGGTTTGGAATATTGTAGTCAGGTTTGGTCCCCACATTATGAGGTCCATATTAAGCGAATCGAGCGAATAAAGAAGAGATTTCTCTGGCACCTATCCTACCAATCTAACAAAGCCAAACTGCTGCCCTCATATAAGGAACGTCTTGCCTATTTTAAAATGACTAGCCTACAAGGGCGAAGATTGTTTTTGGATCAATTACTTTTTTATAAAATTATCAATGGCCTCATTGACTGCCCTGCGTTATTGCGATCTGTCAATTTTAATATCCCATACAAGTTGCCGCGTCGCGTACGATACGTTCCATTCTCACCAAAAGGTGCCAAAAGTAGCTTAGGTCACCACGCCACCATGAATCGCTTACAGAGACAGTACAACGTAATATCTAAGTCTTACAACATCGACATCTTTTCTGACAAGCCGTTGAAATTTAGACGCAAGCTCGGTCAGTTTCTCGAGTCAATGGTGTCTGTTTGATTCAGGTATCTATATCTATTGTTTGATTTTTTTTTAACATATAAAAATAAGGATTGTTAA